AAAAAAGAAAAAAAAGGATTAATGGATCGCACTGTGCGCAGCGAAGATGAATACCCAACCACTGGGAGCCACTAGTTTTCACAACATCCCCCCATCCCCACCATCTCCGGCACCATAGAGAGATAGACGGGAGAAAGGCTACGTTACAACCCCTCTCTAGCAACTATGTACTGCCACCACTGTAACCACACTAGCATCTCGCACCACCACCACCACCTCCTCCAACCTTATCGCATCTATAGAAGACGGTATGAAGAAAATTGTGGTTTGAGGAAGACGATGATTGAGAGAAGACGGTGGTCGGAAGAAGGCGACGATTGGATCTATAGAGAGAGAAATTGTTGTTGTATGTAGAGAGAATTTTATTTTATTTTATTTTTTAAGGAAAAGAATTGAAAGAATAGGAAAGAAGAAGACACATATGGAATGAAGATATTTACTTGGGTGGGTATAGGTGTGGGGTGGGGTGTTAGAGAGATAAAACATTTAACGAATAGAAATGGGAACAATGAAACATATTAATATAATATATATTTTATATATAATAATAATTTATTTAGTACCTGGTTTTTGAATAAAAATTTTAGTAATCTAATTTTTGATAATGAAATGTTAATTCCATGTTTTCGTGTAATTTTCTCTTCAAATTTTCATACGAGAGGAGTCTCAACAAATTTGATTCGTTGGAAGTTGGAAAATTTACACTAGATTTGAAGAAAACAAATGGCTGGTGATTCGAGTGCCATGCTCCCAGTTCCTCGACTGCAATGGAAACTGCATAAAAGGAGTGGAAGCATAGTATGTTGAACCTGGTTAAGGCTCACTAGCTCCAGCTAGCTTGTGCGTGCATAAGTTCTTCGTTCAACTAAACAAAGGCTTGATTTTTATCCAACCAATTTGAGATCGAAAGTCCATAGTCGAAGCAAAATGGACACCTAATTGAATTTAGAATTTAATCCCAAATTACTTGCACTAATTAGTTCACCGATTGGCAATCTCAATAGACAAGTAAATCGGATTCTATCTCGTGCATTCCTGTGAGTTCGTATATTTTGCTTAGAGTAACGCTAGTGATATAAAGCCCATGTTTGATGTACATTTTTCGGCAATAGATTTTGTTTTTAAAAAAATAAAAAATTAGAGGGCTAAATGATAAAGATTATTTGCGTCCCAAGTATAAAACAAAGCATCTTAGGGCATTCAAGGTAATTGAGTTTGTGGGAAACCAAAGAGAAATAAATCCCTTAATAACAAGAAACGTTTAGGCAATCGAGTTGAAAAAAGATGTTACACGCTCGAAAAGTCGGTACATGCTCGACTTAACATAAACTGTAAGACACGAGGTTTGGCAATTGCTTGACCTGATACGGCTTTTATTTGCTGGCCGTTGATGTTATAAGTATGTATTAGATGATGGGCTATGCAAGAATTCATTCCCTCGTTGAACATCCTCAAGTATTCAAAATTTTCCTCATTTTCTTTGCCTTCTGGAGAAATAATTCAATTTGCTACTTGTCCAAGGATCATCCAAATACATATAGATAGAACGTCAAGTAACATAATCAACTTAAAGAATCAGTAAATAGCTTTAGTAATGATAAAAAGAGCAAAACCTGCAGCTTTACCAACTTCTTCCTTTTTATTGTACGCAGCCAAAAAAAAAAAGAGGAGGCAAATACCAATGTGCGTGTTTATGCGCTTAAAATCATTCAGTCGCTATGTTCTTATGTGGGAAATGTCAGTTTAACTGCAACTGGCCGCAAGCACAAGTTAAGATCCATGCTGGTAAAAGAGTATAGCCTATCCTCACTGAGGGATGATAAGATGCTCCCTTCAACTGTGTCCGGTACTCGAAGCATTGTGCAAGTTTATTACTTTCTCCACATTTCTCCTTCAAGTGCTTTTGTCCTTCCCACAGCACCTTCAAAAGTGAAAGCAGAATAAAAAAAATTATACTGCTTAGATTTACAGACAAGATAGAGCGTGCAAAATACTTATTATTGTAGGTATCACACTCCTGTAAAGCAAAATTGGCAAAATTTGTAACAAAAATAAAGATTTTATAGCAGAAAGGATCTGCCTAGTGAATGAAGCAAGCAGTATAATGTGTATGGCATCTTAAGAGAATCTCAGAAATTTTACAGCTCACATGCGACGCTAAGAAAGATTGGATAAACTTGCAATCAAAGCTGACGTCCAGTCCAAATGAGCAGGGTAAAATAGTTTCATGTAACTTGGGAGGATTATCTAAGGTACTGATCATTTACCCTATTCACATATAAAAATTCATATTCTGAATTCTCCAAAAGTTGATCTTAGAAAATGGATTTCAGGTGTCTATCGAATCAAATTTAGATATACACAGAAAATGTTGAATACAATCATTTATGCTTGTTAACGAACAGAAGTACCTTTTGTAGAACTTTTTGGAACCACAGGGACAAGGCGCATTTCTACTTATCTTTCCACTCTTGGCCAAGTTTGATCGTGCAACGTCCATGGGGGTTGATCCCATCAACTTCTGAACCTGCAGTCAATGATTCCTTCACGAGTCAATATTTCATGCAATAACATCAAACTACAATGCCCAAGCCATGTCATATGATATGATCCTTCGAACCATGCATTGGCAAGGGAAAAAGTAGAATAATACAGATAAAAACAGGTATCCATGTTCAGCTAACCAGCAAAAACATTCACCCAACACAACTAGCACATAGTTTGTCACTTGTAACAAATCACTGTTAACAATGTGAAGAATGAGAAATGTAGGCAATGAGATAAATACCTCAGCCAAGCTCTTTGGCATTGGTTTGCCTTCTTCCTTTAACTTTTCAATTTTTCTCTGAGCTTCTTTTGCCCAGGTAAACTTTGCTAAAGCATTTTCAACATCCGCTATTGTGCAATTACATTGTTTTGCTGCTTCTTGCTTTTGACCGGTTTGAATATTCTACAGTAATAAAGCAAAAGAAAGGTGATGACCATTAAAGCATTACCAGAATACATAATTGTCAGTAGCATTCAAACCCTAGCATCACTTAGAACATGTGACTGCGCAAAGATTTAGCAACACAAATGCATGATGGTAAACAGGAAGACAAGTAATTACAGGCCAAAGCCATTCTGCTCAAGTTATCACATTTTGAAACCAGCTGTAACACTTGAGTTAAAGCTACTTCGTTAACCTCCTGAAAATTACGTTTTTCAATGCTTCTAGCTGCAAATTGAGGAGGGAAAAGAGAGGATAGAAAAATAAGGGAAGAAAAGGAAAATGGCAAAAGAGAGACAGTAGAAGGGGGATAAGGAAGAGGCGATTGGATGGAAAGAGACGGAAGAAGAGGAATAAGTACGTAATATGCTTTGTAGGCTATTTTAGCTGACCTGTTCAGGGCCATTTTCAGCTAAACTAAAGCCCCATTCAGGCGTTCACTGTCGAGTGTCGACCAATTTATCCATGCCCTATCCCCAGTTGCTATCTCTGAATCCATCTCACTAAAGATAAAGCAACTATATCATTCCTTCCCCCTAACAGTAGTGTCTTGTCCATTTCTATGGGAAGCAATGAAGCAGGATATATTACAACCTGTAGCACTTTTAGTTGAAAGATATATTAATATTTGTTACCTACTTGTATTCTTTGTTTATTGTTAGGGACTAAAGTGCAATTTCCCTTTTTCCTTTCATGTATATACTTGTAGTTTCTAAATCAATATATACAATATTTTTTTCTCTCA